GGGGTGGGGGCGCCGGCCGGAGCAGCGGCAACTGGCACTCCCCGTCGCTTCACCTGGCGGGAGCACCCAGGCCCTGCGTGCGGCCAGACGGACGGACTGGTGAGTCCCGGCCGCCCCTCTGCCCCAGGGAGCCTGGGGGCGCTTGGGCTTTAGGGACTGGGGGCCTGCCGCAAGCCCTTTGGGGGCGTCTCTAAGTTCTGTGCCTTCTGAGCGTGGGGCGGATGCTGTGTGCGCGCGCGCGTGGGATCTGTGCTGAGGCTTCGGGCGGCGGAATGCGTGTGCACCTTCCCTGCGTCCGGCGTGCGGGTCCGGCCCGTGCGTGTGCGTGTGTGTGTGTGTGAGTGCGCGTGCAGCTGTGGTCTGACGGGAGGGGACGTGTTCTCGCAAAGTGGGCACCAGGGTGGTTGTCCCGGGGTCAGCGCGGAGGGTCGCGTGGCCCGGGGTGTTCCCCCCACCCCGTCTGTGGTCTGTGGGGGACCGAGTGTGTGTCAGGGGGTTGTGTCTGTGGGCCCGCGTGGCCAGAGAATCAGCCCGTTGGGGGTCTGTCGTGCGCCCTCTGTTTGTCCGTGCTGCTGGGCTGTGCAGACTTTCTGGGGTGTCTGGGCCTTGTGGGTCCCTGTTGCTGTGTGTGTGTGTGTGTGTTGGGAGACAGGTTAGTGTGTCTGTGTTGTGTGTCCGTATATTGTGTGTCCATGCTGCTGCTGCTTTGTGTGGATGTATATTTTGAGCCTCAGGACTCCCCTGCCCTCTCCGGGCCTCCCTTCCAAGGGGCCCGAGTCCCTGTCCTTGGCTGCCCTGGGGCAGGGGGGGTAGCGCTTCAGCCAGACCCTCCTCCCCCAAAGCCACTAATTAAAGCCAGGTTTTCGTGGGCTGCCCCTCCCCCTCCGGCCACCAGTCTCCGGGTGGGGGTGGGGCAGTGGCTCTGGCCCCTCAGCCTCCTCCGGAGACCCTAGGGGTAGATTTGCATCATCTGCATCATCACCTTTAAAACCACAAACCCCGAGTGAGATGGGCTCTAGAGGGAGGCCCAGCTCCAAGCTGTGGGTCCTGCACAGTCCTGTGGGGCCCATGAAGTGATACCACCTCCTCATCTGGCACTGCTGTTTCTTGTCCTAACAGTAGTCCGGGGAGGTGGCCCTTAGCCCCATTGCACAGATATGGAAGCCGAGGCTCACAGAGGTGACGTGCCCGACCCCAGGACACGGAGCTGGGCGGTGACTTCCCCTGGGGTTATTCCAACCTGCTCTCCCCTGGTTGTGGGACCCTGGGCCGGCCATTCCCAGTATCGGGCCTGAGTTTCCTCTTGGCTAAAACGAGAGAGGGGTTGGCCTGACCCCAGTTCCCAGTGGCCTGTGAGTTTCTGAGCCCTGGAAAACATTAGGACTCGGGAAGCAAGGCTGATCGTCTCCCGGAAGGCGGCGGGGACAGCTGATGGGCAGACTGATCACTTCGGGGCTGTCCGGGCCAGCGTGCCCACTGTACAGAGGGGAGACTGAGGCCCACAGAGGGCAGGGGCTCCTCATGCAGGTCATGCAGGGCCACACAGCCATTGCCTTTGAGGCCCAGCTGACCCCCGACACTTTGCCTGCTCCTTTCCTGGGGAGCCAGGCTGAGGGGTGTGGGGGACCTGAGAGTCGGGGTCTCGGCCTCTAAGAGCCAGTGATCCTTTGTGTGGCCTCTTTCCTTACCGTCTGTCCGTGACCCCAAGGCTCCGGGGAGAAGGGGGCACTTCCCTCTGTCCAGCTCATTGTCGTGTGTGTGTCTGTGTGTGTGTGTATGTCTGTGTGTGTGTGTCTGCCTGTGTGTGTGTGCAGACACACACACGTGCCCGTGTCCTGGATTCCTGGGGGGCTAGAGCTGAGCTCTCACTCAGCAGGGTGGAGAGCTTGGTCACTGCCCGGGGTGGGGGGGCGATGAGCCGGTCTAGACACTGGGTGAAGGTAACCATCTGCCCGCCTGGTGGGAGGACGGGGTTCGTCCCGGGCTCTGCTGGGGTCGAAATGGAGCTGCTCTCGAGCCCCGACCTTTCCTGGGTGCACAGCTACCCTGTGCCGGACGCTTCCTGCATGTCGTCTCCCCCGGGCCGTGTGGCTCTGTGGTCAGTTCCCCGCCAACCCCCCCAACTTACAGACGGGGACAGTGAGGCCCAGAGGGAGCCGCCTGCGGAGCGGGACCCAGCTGGAGCCCCCGGGGCCGCTCATAGCCGCCCTCTGTGGGGAGAAGCCTCAGCCACCACCACCAAGTCTCTCTCAGGCTTGACTTGCAGGAGGGCAGGGAGGTGACCGGCGGACGAAGACCCTGAAGATCAAAGCCGTCTGCAGGGACGTTCGATGTGAGGTGCCGGGAAGGCCCCTCCCTTCCAGCTGACGCGTGGTGTCATCCAGGGGTGCCAGCTCATTTGGGGGCCGGCCCGGGGCACATGAGAGCGCGTGTGCACGGTGTGTGTGTGTGTGTGTGTGTGTCTGTGTGTATGGCATGTGGTATGTATGTGTGTGAGTGTGTATGTGTGGTGTGTGAGTGTGTGTACGTTTGTATGTACGTGTGTGTGGTGTGAGCGTGTGGACTCTCAGACTCACCCAGACAAAGGTTCAAATCCCAGCTCCGACAGGTACATCTGTGTGTCCTTGGGCAAGTCACTGTCGGTCTGGGGACCTCCAGCCCCTCAACAGCGTTGGACTCTAGGGTGGAGCTCTAGGGCTGCTCTAGGGTTGAGCCCGGCAAAGGGGGTGGGGGCTTCCCCCGCGATGAAAGCACAGGATCATCAGCTCCCCCCATTTAAACCGAAACTCTGAGTAGTTTTGCCTCTTTTTATGTCCTGGAACTACCTTTGGGTTTTCCTGGTCATCTGAGCCAGTTTGTCCCAACTGACGTCAGTACAATTAATTTCAATTAGTGCTACTTAATTGGGAGGCCTCAGGTCAGTTGGAAGAAGCCGCTTAATGTCTTGACATCATAACTACCTCACTCCCCAAATCCCCACGGTGACCCCTGAGGCCAGGACTGCCAGCCCTTTTAGGAAGCAGGCCTTGAGGACTGGGCACCCAAGGGGACACACAGCCCAGGTGTTGGGAACCTGACCTCCGCCTCCAGCCCAGGACCTCGCTCTGTGGCCTTGGGCCTGCCCCTCATCTCCGGGCCCCTGTCCCCCATCTCGGTCCCCTGAGAGAGGGTGTCAGACAGGGGATCCCAAGGCTTTTCTGTCCTGGCGCTTCAAGCCCCTCCCGGGTCAGGAGGGGTTTCTCAGGGACAGACAGCCCACGAGGGTGCAGAGAAAGGGGCTCCTGGGTTTGTCTGAGGGCCCAGCCTCCCTCGGGCTGGCGGGGAGAGCCCATGTTTTAGGAGCTGGCCTCCTCCGCAAACCTGGACCATGCGGAATGTATTAGTCAGCCTGGCTGTCTGGGCCAGATGGGGTCTGGGGGTTCATGTCGGGAGCAGCCTTCCAGCGGGGGGAGGGAGAGAGGGGTGGGGTTCATCTGGTTCCCATTTAGTGGTGGCCGTAGGACTCGGGCTCCAGCTTCGTCTCAGGCACGCGGGTTCTCCCCACCCCTTCCTGGGCCTCCAGGCCCTGCTTTGCACCTTGAGGTGAGGGTGAGCCACGGCTCCTGGCATCCAGGCCCTCTCCTGAGCTCAGGGAGTCTGAAAGCTTCAAAACCTATGAGTCTCCCAGAGAAGGGGACCAGGACCAAGGAAGGGCCGGGAGATGCTGGGGAGGGTTCCCTGGAAGAGGAGGGGTCAGCTCCCTCCGTTGCTCCATTTCTTACTTTCTCCCGGCCCGACCCAACCATTTCTCCCTCCGTGCCTAGCTCCAAACCCCCACTCTTGCCTGACTTCACTCCTCTGAGCCTCAGTTTCCATACCTGGAACCTGGGGATAATAATAGTGCCTCCCCCATTGGGTGGTTCTCAGGATTCAATGACATTCTACGTAAGAAACTCAGAATAGTACCTGGCACGTGGTAAGCGATGAAAGGGTAAGTTATTATTAATTCAGCCAAGTCAGTCAAGATGCATTTATGGAGCACTTACGGTATACCAGACATGGTATGAAACCCTGAGAGTGCCGAGGTAAATGAGAATCAGTCCCTGCCCTCTAGGACTTCAGGGTGAAGTGGGGTTCCTCGTGGGGGGGGTCCCTCCAGGGGCTCAGGATGAAGTGGAGGGGCAGACAAGAACCCCACGTGTGAACGAACGGGGTCCACTATATGGTGGGCAAGGGAAGAGGCCCGCTAGAATACGCTCTGTGTCCCCCGGGGCCCCGGAGTTCCACCCCGACCTCTCTCCTGCCTCGCTGCCCCACAGGTCTGGGACAAGATGGTGTCCGTGGTGGTGCCGAGGCTGGTGGTCTCTCTGCTGCTGCTCCTCAGGGTCCTGCCCGCGGTGGCCTACTCCGTGCCCCTGCACGCTGCCTTCCTGGAGGACACAGGGGGCAGCGGGGAGGCCGAGGGCTCATCGGCCTCCTCCCCAAGCCTCCCGCCGCCCCGGACCCCGGCCCTCAGTCCCACGTCGGTGGGGCCCCAGCCCACGCCCCTGGCAGGCCCCAAGCCCCCCACCAACTTCCTGGACGGGATCGTGGACTTCTTCCGCCAGTACGTGATGCTCATTGCCGTGGTGGGCTCCCTGGTGTTCCTGCTGATGTTCATCGTCTGCGCCGCGCTCATCACCCGCCAGAAGCACAAGGCCTCGGCCTACTACCCCTCGTCTTTCCCCAAGAAGAAGTACGTGGACCAGAGTGACCGGGCCGGGGGGCCCCGGACCTTCAGCGAGGTCCCCGACCGGGCTCCCGACGGCCGGCCCGAGGAGGCCCTGGATTCCTCCCAGCAGCTCCAGGCTGACATCCTCGCTGCCACCCAGAACCTCAAGTCCCCCGCCAGAGCCGCCCCGGGCAGTGGAGATGGAGCCAGGATGGAGGGCAAGTCAGAGGGAGAGGAGAGCGGCGGCCGGGAGGCGGACCAGGAGGCCCAGGGATGTGGGAGCCCAGCGGAGAAATCAGGGGTGCTGGAGGAGCCGGGCACAGTGGTGGCAGAGGGGGCCCTGGAGGCCGGCCAAGGCCAAGGTGAGCCGGAAGCGGCTCCTTTGTTAGCCCAGGAAGCCAGGGGAGCCGCTGGTCCCCCCGAGAGCCCCTGTGCTTGCAATGTCGTCCCCAAGGTCTAACAGGCCTCTGGGGCTGCTGGCCCCGACTGTCGGACTCCTCGTGGTCACCTCCATGGGTGTGGAAAGGCCCTTGACCCTTACTGCTCCCCGACACCCCCTCCTTGGCCACCCCCTGCTGCAGGCAGAGATGCTGGTCTCCAGCGTACCCCAGGAATCTCCCCGGATCCCAGGACCATTTGCCCCTGCGGTCCCAAACACAACGTCTCTGGGGAGGGGGGATGGGAAGGATCCCCACTATATTCATGATACCATATCCCACGAAATCAGCCCCGTCACTTGGGCAGACATGCCACGGTCCCCCGGGATGGTACCAACATTGCCGCTTTTCCATGGAAGTAGGGAAGACAAGTCAGAGTAACTAGGAGTTTGGGATGAGGGTGACTGGGACCTGCCGAGGCCCCCCCAGGCCCCCCCCACCCGGGCGGGAGCAGTTAAAGCTACTGCAGAAGTGGGTCTGGGGAGTCAGGAAGCTTCCGAGAGGCCCGTGCACACATCATGACAGGTCCCTACGTCAGCATGTCCAAGGCTGGGTTCCCCGAGCTACTCTGTGGAAAAAGGATTTGGGGGGCCAGTGAGTTGAGGAGACACTGCCTCTCCACTCCCTGCAACCCCCTCCACCTTAGAGCACCCCAGGGCTCTGCAAATACTCTAGTAGAAGCCCCTGTGGAATCTGGTTTTGCTTGTTTTTTTTTTTTACAGCTACAGAATAAAATCTTTGCAGAGCACACTCTGGAAATTACTGCCCCAAATGTTCCTGAAGGTGCCCCCCAGTTTGTGGTTGCTCTGGGGTTAGGGCTGTGGGGTCCGGGGGCTCAGGGCCGCTCAAGTTCTGCCAAGCATCTCTGCCTGGGGATGAATTTCTCATCCCGTTACTGCCATGGGCATGGGGTGAATGAATCGAACCTTTCTTGTCAGGCCCCCAAAGCTGCCCAGAAGCTGGGGGGGCAGTGTGTGAAGGGGGTCCCACTCTGGGGGGATTCTGAAAGGGTAGGGGAAGGTTTCTAACACCCAGCCTGGAGCAGGGGGGCCCTAGCCCCCGACCCTTTGCTTACATGCGTGTCTGGTAGCCTGAGCTCACAGAATTCTTTAGCCTTCGACAAGGGAGCCTGAGCTCCGTCCTGATTTGGGGAGGCTCTGGGTGGGGGGCGGTCCTCTTCCTCATCCCTCTGTCTGGGCTTCCCCCAACCTCTGCACAATTTTTTAGGTGCTGAGATATAGCAAACCAGCACAATAAACCTTTATTCTGGCCTGAGCGTCGCTGCTTTTCTGAGGGGGAATGAGTCTGCTGGGGGGGGGTATTTCTTCTGGGCTGTTCCATGGGGTGGGGCAGCTTTCTGGGGGAGACACATCAGGCAGGCCCGAAAAGCTGAATGAGATGAGGCGGAATGAGATGATTCGTGAAAAGAGGGCAGAACGGGGTCCCCCATGGGAATGTGGCAGGAGGTCTTGCCCCCAAGGCTGAGCTCAGCCCTGGACTTGCGGCCACGGAGACCCGGCTTCCAAGAGCAGTTCTGCTGTGCACTGTGGCTGCAGGAGATCCACCCGCCTCCTTCTCTGGGAAACATGAGCCCAGTCTCCCCTTTCAGCCTCCCGTCTGCTGGCAGCGTGGCCAAGGACTAGAACCGGGCTAACGGACGGTGCCCTGCTCCCGGCACCCTTGGCCTGGGGTTGGAGGCGGCCCTGGCCTTTGTGTCCTCGCCCCGCCAGGCTCTTCCTTGCCTTTGATGGCAAGTTCCTGGGGGCCACTGCTCCCCCTCCTCCCTGGAGCTGCCAGCTGGAATCCAGATGTGGCTGCGTTGGGAGCACGTGCTAGATCCCGGGGTGAGGGGGGCAGGGAGGCCATCCCCCCACCCCAGCCCTTCCCTCTGCTGACCCCACTTCCCTTCCAAAGGGGGCCGGCTTTGGGTTTCATAACACACAATGGCCTCTGTCTCTCGCAGCAGGGAAGGGCCCTCCCTTTCTCAGCCCAGACCCGCTCCCGCACAAGAATGTAGGGAAAATCCAATATGGATACCTGAATGCTGTGTGGCTCTGGCCAAACCACTCAACCTCTCTGTGTATGACAGGCTGTCTCCTAGATCCTGAGCTCCTGCAGGGTCCTAGATGATTGGGTGTGGCTGGGGTACGCATTAAGCTTCCCCATAACAGGTTAAACTCAGGTAAGACAGAAGCAGATGTTAGAGATTCCTGGGGAAGAGGCAGGGATGACTTTTGCAATCAGCAGCTCCCTGGTCAATGGCTCCCCATTAATGGGCCTGCCAGAGGACATGAGGTGAGCGGCCTTAGTTATGGCCTGTGTCCCTCGGGACTGATGGGGGTGGGGACTCAGGAGGTAGTTGGAGCCCAGAGGAGGCGTCAACCTCCCCCTCACCTTTGAGCTTTAACAGCTACTATTCCCTCTGCCTAGGATGCCCTTCCACACCCCCTCCTTGTCCAGTTAACTCCCCCTCCTCCTTTAGCTTCCAGCCTAGCTGTCACCTGCCCTCCCCAACAGCCCCCACCCAGACTCTCTCCCACACTCCCCTGGGCTCAATACTATTAATAATTGCTCACAGCTAATGAGCACCTGTGACGCATCAGGCACTGCTCTAAGCCCTGAACATCATTTACTCATTGAGACTCCCAACCCGAGCAGAGGGATCCTGCTGTTATTCCCATGTCGCGGAGGGGAAGTCAGTTGCCTAGGTCACAGAGCCAGCATCCCCGCCCCATCATCTGATTCTAGAGTGACTTCTCCCTCGGGCTCGACAGCTGCTTGCATGAATGAATGCGTGAATGAAGCCCTTGGGGAGGAGAGAGCAGGGCCCCACTCCTGCTTAGAGCCCCTCTAGGGTGGACACACATCTGGCCAGGCACCAGCGGAGGGTGAGCTTTGGGGGGAGATGGGCTGGGGGTACGTGTGGGCTGGGGCCAGGCAAGGGGGAGACCTGGGCTGGAGGTGGGGGTGTGGGGGGGTCCGCGGGGTGCTGGAGGGACCTCTTCCGTGTGCCCTTTCTCTGATCAGCCCAAGGGGCTGGGTGTTCGCTGGCTGGGGGTCACATCCAAGGCAGGAGGACGAGGGGCAGAACTCACGTCTCCGGGGAGCTCTGCACTAGGCACATGGTCTTGCACCCTCTTGGGGTGGTTCGGGTAGTTTGGGCCCTGGGGGGAGACTGCCTTTGTCAATGCCCGCTCTACCATTTCGTAGCTGTGTGGCCTTGGGCAAATGTCCTCACTTCTCTGGGCTTTCGTTTCCATGTGCGTAAAGAGATGATCCTACCCTACCTGGCAGGGGTCTCAACCTGCACACTGGGATTGTCTGAGAGCTTTGTTATGTCGTACCTCCCGGGCTCCACCCAGACCATTTATTTATTTATTTATTTAAATAATCTCCACGGGGCTCGAACTCACGCCCCCAAGATCAAGAGTCGCATGCTCTACCGACCAAGTCAGCCAGGTGCCCCCCTCCCCCCAAGGCCGATTAAATCAGAGTGTCCAAGGGTACGGCTGGGCAACGGTCACTGCCTGGGGGGCTGTTCACCACTGTCCCCCTGGCACGGGGCACGGTGCCAGGTACTGAGGACGCGCCATTGGCCCAACAGATCTGAAGCTGTATTTGAGTGGAGGAGATGAAAATGAATCAAAGAGTCATCTAGATGCAACCACGGTGATTAATAACAGGAATGGCCGCCATATATAAATGCACTATTATACATGTCTGGTGCTTTACTGATGTTAGTTTTTACGGCTTTATGGAGGTATAGTTAGCACATAATAACTACACATATTTAAAACGGCAATTTGATAATTTGGACATACGAGTATACTCATGAAGCCATCGCCAAAGTCAAGATAATGGACATGTCCGTCACCTCTAACCGTTTCTTCGCACCTCTTTGCAATCTCTGCTGGCTGTTTCCCCCCCACCTCAGGCCCTAGACCACTACTGACCTGCTCTCTGTCCCTACGACTCATTTTTATCTTCTGGAATTTTATATAAATGGAACCATATAGTGTACTCTTTTTATCTGGCTTTTTGCATGCAGCACGAATGTTCTGAGATTTATTCATGCTATTGTACGTATTAACATTTCACTGCTTTTTACTGCTGAGTAGTATTCCCTTGTATGGATGTACTGAAATTTGTTTATCCATTCACCTGCTGATGGACGTTTGGGTGGTTTTCCAGCTTGTGGCTATTATAAATAAAGCTGCTTGGAATTACTGATGTTTGTTTATTTTATCCTTCCAACCTTCTTAATGAGATGGTCATTATTTGTCCCCATTTTACAGATGAAAACAACAGACTCAGAGAGGTCAAGTAACTTGTCTAAGGTCACACAGCCAGGAGTGGGAGCATTGAACCTTAAAGTGGGAATGTTTGAGCTCAGTTACTGTAGGGAACTTGTGAAGCTCAGAGGGTCTCAGAAATCCTGCTCTAGACCAGCCCCCCACATTTCATATGTGGACATCCAAGGAGCATACTGGGACTGGGGCCCATCCAGAGCTGACCAGGAATCCGGGTCTCTGGTGGGCGGTCTTGTGCTGTGTCTAGCTCTGCTCTGCTTCAGCTCTAGCTCCTCATCTGCTGTTGGGGAAGAAGCAGGCCCATGTGGAGTGGGACAGGGATTTGTCATTTTTTTTTCGGGCGGTTTTAATTTCAGGATTCCTCCGGCTGCTCAGAAATAGCAGGAAGGATTTGGCACTGGCTCCAGGGCCCCACGGGGGTTCCCCCGCAGCTGCTCCTCCTCCCCAAATGGGTCCAGGGTTTACAGCGGCAGCTGCAAAGTATAAAATAGTCCTCGTAAATCCACTCTTGCCAGGGTCCCTAATGCCAGAGGCCTCTGCAGTGCTCAGCGCGGGCATCCTGCCACCCACTGGGGCCCCACAGGGACACCTGGGGTGCCCTGGAAGGCTGGAGGGTCCAGGTCTATGGGTGGCCACCTGCAGCCTCTGCCATAGGGTTTGGGGAACCAGACTCAGCGAGGGGGTCTGCAGGGGGGAAGGGGGACTGAGATTGTACAGGGGTGGAGGATTGGGGACAGCAAGGAGAGGGAGAGATAGTGGGACACAGAAATAAGGAACCAGGAGACCCTCCTAGCTGCATGACTTTGGGCAAGTCACTTTGAACTACAGGCTCTTCACGTATAAAGTCCTGGGACCACAGCCCTTGCCCTGTCTCCCCCCACCCCCCAGAATGCTGTGAGTGCACTTTATAATGTGTAGGATGGCGGGGCGTGGTGGTTAGGGGTACAGGCTTCACACGGCCTGGGTTGAAATCTCAACTCGGCCACTACCCGGCTGTGTGAACTTGGGCAAGTCACTTCACCTCTCTGGGCCTGAGTTTCCTCGTCTGTGAAATGGGAATAATGGCTCCTACGTCAGAGAGGCGGTGGAAGGTGAGTTCATTCACTTCCAGTGCTTAGAACAGGCCCCCCCATGGGTGCTCAGTAAATGGGAGCTGCTGTTAGCTACAAACAGTGAAGTGCTGTGCCCGAAGAAAAGGGGGAAATGTCAGTCTCCAAGTGTCTCGCTGTTCTGAGCGTCACCTCTTCTTTCCAGATCATAAGGTCAGTGATTCTTAGACGCTTGAAACTTCAGCGTCATCACATCTTGTCTTGGGTGGGGGCAGGGCAGAGGGTCCTGGCAATGTTGGCAAAAGCAGAACAAGGCCAGCAGCCAGGGAAGTCCCGTGAACCCCAAGGAAGGGGTGAAGGATGGGGCTAGAGAGAAGAGAGGCTCGTGCTGCCCTTTGGGCAAAGACCAACCCCCAACCCCGCGTGCCCCTCTGTGGGGGTTTGGCGCCTGATGGGGGCCAGGGGTCCCGTGGAAGCTGTTCCCTGTCTCCCTCTGAGGTGCGGTGACCCCAGTTAGAACTTAGACATTGTCCGGGCGAGTGTGCATGGAGTGTGCATGGCTGACAATGTGGGTCAGGGAGCCCAGGGACTCAGGCCCATCTGGGGCAGGTGCCAGGGCTATTTCTGGGGAGTGGGAAAGGTTGGGGGGTACCCAGCTAGATTAGTTGCCAGGTGACCTAGAATATCTCCGCTCCCCTCTCCGTTGGGTTCCCATCTATGAAACAAGCCAAATACTTCTCAGCACTGACTCTGGGCAGGAGACTCCTTCAGGCTCAGGGGGGAAGGACGTAAGGTATCTGCATTCTATAAGACTTGTAGTCAAATCTGAGTTCAATTCCACTTCCAAGCTGTGTGACCTTGGGCAGCTTCTGCCCCCCTTTTGGAGCCTCAGCGTCTCACCTGTGAAAGCTCAGGT